CAAAAAAAAAAAAAAGGAACTAACTGGGAATAACGAATATAGAGGTAGAGTTGAATGTCATCAACAGAGCTGGCAACAAGAGACAAGATAATGTACACATGAAAGCACCAAGGAAAGTTCTAGGCGACTGATCAGATAACAGAGTTAAAGTCACAGCATCAGTTTAGAGACTGACTCTGTTTAAGCGCCTATGTTTCCACGAGAAGTGGAATCTGTAAAGAAAATGGGAAAAGCAGAGAAGTAAGAGAACCAGGATGATTCGGTGTCAAGGACGCCGAGAATTTCAAGGAGAGGGAGTAGAAAATGATGTAAAATGCTACAAAAATGTTCAGGAAGTGGAGGACTGTGAATGGCTGATGTGTTGAGAATTAGGAAGCATTAGTGATTTGCAGGAATATTTTCCCAGTGAAACGGTCATCATCAGAAAGAAGTCAGGTTGCTGGAAGTGGTTGAGCCATTCACTTGCGGAGGAAGTAGAGACTGAGTCTAAGTGACTAATTTAAGAAATATAGCTGAGAAAGACAATGTTGTCATTGTCAGACATCTAGAATGCCCTCTGGCAAACCTAGATGGTGTAGGCTGCTACACGTCTAGTGTACCTATACTTTTATAGGACTGGCTGTGCATTAGGTTTCCTTACACCAGCACCACCACAGACATTTGAGTAATGCATTGCTCTGTGATGTTACAGTCTATACAGTGTCACTGGGCAATAGGAATGTTTTCCGCTCCTTTGTAATCCTACAGACTGCCATCATATACACCATCAAAGTGCAATTATACAGTCACTGAGTCTGCTGGGAAAGTCAGTAATGGACAGCAGCAGGATTAAGTTAAGGGACCAGCGAGCCAGGAGTTGGTAGAAAGTCAGAATGAAGATGGGGAGGGTATGGAGTGGATAATGAGTGCTCAAAGGCATACATGTGAAATGGTACCTTTAGTACTAGAACTGTAGGCATCATCTTGTTTTGCATCTCATCTCAAAATTATACATCTCATTTTGCATGTTGACCTGTGTAAAATGACACTTACAGCAGCTGCCCAGAGTCAGCAGCCGTTTCAAATGTGGTTCAAAAGGATGGGATGGGATTTGTCTTGAATACTGTGGACTGTCCCTGATAAGGCCCTTGCCCCTCTTCCTCTGGAACTGTAAGTAGAAAGAAAGGCAGCTCTGTTAATATTGATAATTAGATGTTTCTTTTAAGGTAGAATATTATTTACCACTACCTAACCAAGATAGGCTAAAAACCACACTAGAATAAAATAATGTGCTTCAGTATCCAATCATCCTTAGCTAATTTGAGAATGAGAAAAATGGTAACTTAGGGTACTTTGGTTGAAGCATTTTAAAAGTGCCTCTTCAGAACTGGATGTAACTGTTATGTCAAAGCAAAACACCTGATTTTATGCATCAACTTGTTTTTTTCTTTTCTTTTCTTCTTTCTTTCTTTCTTTCTTTTTTTTTTTTTTTTTTTTTTTTTTTTTTTTTTTTTTTGAGATTTTACTTATTTAAAAGTCTGAGTTAGAGAGAGGGAGAGACAAAAAAACAAGATAGATCTTCCATCTGCTGATTCACTCCCTAGATGGCCACAACAACCAGTGCTGGGCCAGGCCAGAGCCAAGAGCCAAGAGCTCCGTCCCAGGTCTGCTACATGGGTGGCTGTTGCCAAACATTTGGGCCATCTTTCGCTGCTTCCCCAGGCCGTTCTCAGGGAGCTAGATCAGAAGTGGGGTAGCCAGGACACAAACCAGCACCCCTTTGGGATGTCAGCATCACAGGCAGTGGCTTTATCTGCTATGCCACCATCCCAGCCCCTGCAGCAACTATTTAACAGGCATCTCCACCTAGTCCACAAGGACTAGGCCAGCAAGCTGAGGCTTGTAGCATTGTCCCCTCCTGTTTTAGGCAATAATCCTGCTGTTTGATCGCTTCCATGCATACAAGCATCATCAGTACAAGTCCTATAAACATAGGTCCTCCATTCCCACAATGAATGAGAGTTTCTCTAAAGGTACCAGGTACAGCAGTGCATAGAGGTCTTTGTGCGAAGCTCACTTAAGGACTCCTTGCAAAGACATAGCAGTCGGCATCACCCAAGTCCCAGTAGTGGTCAGCAGTGGTCAGTGATGACTTCTCACACATCCCCTTTCATACACACAGTTTTTTAACCCTCCAGTGAATAGAATCCATTTCCTAGCATATCCCTTTTAGAAGCTTCCTCTTAAAGATGAAGTATCTTAGGTCTGGCACAGTGGCATAGCAGGTAAAGCTGCTGCCCGCGGTATCAGCGTCCCATATGAGTGCTGGATCAAGTCCTGGCTGCTTCACTTCCTATCCAGATCCCTACTAATGTGCCTAGGAGAGCAGCGGAAGATCGTCCAAATCCTTGGGCCCCTGCACCCACGTGAGAGACCCAGAAGAATCTCCTGGCTTCTGGCTTCAGATTGGCCAAGCTCCAGCTGTCACAGCCATTTGGGGAGTGAACCAGCGATGGGAACTCTCTCTCTCTCTCTCTCTGCCTCTGCCTCTCTGTAACTCTGCTTTTCAAATACATAAATCTTAAAAAAAAAAAAAAATGATGATGTATCTTGTTTGGGAATATTAGTATCTCTTCTGTGCTACTCCCTATTGAAAAAATAAACCAGAATGTGGCTTTGAAAGCTATCCCATTGTACATTTTAGAGAACCAGAGGATAAATTCAGCTATCTTAATTCTGCAGCATTCAGAAGCAAGTAGTTTATTTTGTATGTGGGTGTTGGATAACCTGTGAAGCAGAGAGACTAAAAATAGAAATAGATCCTGCTGTAGGTATGATAAGTCTGTAGACTGTGTATCAGTCCCCAGCGTTGCATAGATGAGGTAATATAAATGCATCAGTGTCCACAGCTACACTGGTTTTACTCCAGGGTCGTTGCTTCTCCATATGTATTCTTAGGTACCTAAGAATCTTCTGGACATTAGAATATGACTCTGCTTCCGAGGCTCAGGATGGGAGCAGGTGGGGTAGGGAGGCTGAGATTATGCATTTCTAACAAGCTTCCAATGATACTACTGGTCCCCAGGTTCCCCTTTGACTAAAAAGGTTCTGCATGGTAAACAGCAACTGATGTAACCTTGCTCTCAGACTTGGAAGTTGGCAGCAACAACAACAATGACCATTCAGAGCTGTCCCCATCAAATACTTTTCTGTAAAAGGCCAGCTTGTAAATAACCTGTGTGGTCACGAGGCTGTATTTTATATACTTGGTTTGTTTATTTGCATATTTTCACAACTTAAAAAAAATTTTTTTTAAATGATCTTAACTCTGAGGTATAACCCTGGCCTACAGCAACAAGCCCATCGCTTCTAGCCATGTCATTGGCATAAGTCCCTGTTTTGTCTTGGGATGACTGTAGGGGAACCATAAGGAGTCAGTTTCAAAGAACTTTGCAAGAAGGTCCATGTGTTTGTTATGGGGTGAGATAGGGAGATAAAATTATTTGGAAGAAAATACAAAGAAGCAATTTTTGATCAACCATCATACAAAATGAAAACCTCTAAACAGTGTTCACATTTAGGTCATAAATATGAACCTGGCAGAACTTCAAGATGGACCCAGGATGCATTTGCCTCCTTCAGAATATGCGACAGCCTGTCCTGTACCAGTGTAAGATCCAATCATAGTGACAGACTTGGCCAAACTTGTCTCTAAATCCCATTCTACTGCTTACTGCCTTGGCAGCTTTGGTCAAGTTCTTTAACTTTTCTGACATATTAAAATACCCCTGTCAGATGAGGCTGCTCATATTAACCAAGAACACATATTTAAAAGTGCTTAATGTAGTGCTTGGTATTTAGAAAACATTGAATAGCTGGTGTCCTTTGTGATCTTATATGTATGAGTATGGCTGAATCCTATAAAAACATCTTCATGCCTAATTGTCAGCTGTCCTTTAGGACTGTCCCAAGTTAGGCTGCCAAGGTTATGGTATTTATGTCCTCCCTAATGTGTCTGCAGACATTTGGAGAAACTAGAACTCACAGCCTTTAGTCACAGTGCCCTCAAACATCGTCAGGGCTCCCGAGACCTCAGCAGTGAACAAGCAAGTCGTTACTCCCCGTGTCTCCCCACCTGGTCTGGCAGCAGCGCTGCCCATCGCCGTTGAGGAATACTGAAAGCAGTTTTGTCTCAGTGACTTGCTTACTCTAGTAGTGTACCAGGGTTTCACTGAATAACGAATATGCAAGGGAAAACTCACGTCTGCCATACCCGGACATTCAAGTATTTGAGGTTAAAGTAGCAGTACTGGCAGTTTAAGAAAGATTGCTAGAAATTGTAAGATAATTTTAAATGTACAACATTAAATAATTATTCTTTTATCTTTAAGTGAAACTTTGTCTTGAGACTGGAAAAAAGAATGCCAAGAAATTTCTCTTTAAAGCTGAAGAAACTGGCCGGCTCCGCGGCTCACTAGGCTAATCCTCTGCCTTGCGGCGCCAGCACACTGGGTTCTAGTCCCGGTCGGGGCACCGGATTCTGTCCCGGTTGCCCCTCTTCCAGGCCAGCTCTCTGCTGTGGCCAGGGAGTGCAGTGCACCCCATGGGAGACCAGGAGAAACACCTGGCTCCTGCCATCGGATCAGCGCGGTGCGCTGGCCGCAGCGCGCCGGCCACAGCAGCCATTGGAGGGTGAACCAATGGCAAAGGAAGACCTTTCTCTCTGTCTCTCTCTCTCACTGTCCACTCTGCCTGTCAAAATAATAATAATAATAATAAAAAAGCTGAAGAAACTGGCTTTTGGGGTTGTTGCAGTTTTTATTGTTGTAACCAGAGGAACTTGTCTCATTACTGCAAAGCAAAAATTATTCATCTTTACATCGGAAGTCACTGGTATCCAAATACGGGTTCTATACATCCTGTTTGTTGTTGCCATGTTGTTAAATGTTTTTATAATATATAGCATAAAATGACTTGTTATTTAACCTGTGGTTGCAAGTTTTTGAAAGAGACTTTTTTAGCTTTTAGTAAAACATGGAGGAGACTTGTTTGCTGAGAATGAAAATAAAGATACTCCTTGTGATTGTGCTGAAAAGCAGCACCACAAAGATCTGGCCCTCAATCTGGAGTCTCAGATGGTGTTCTCACGGGACCCTGACGCTGAAGAAATCGAAGCGGAATACGCCGCGCTAGACAAACGAGAGGTAATTGTCTCAAATGAACCATTTGTAATAATTATGTCTTTAAATTGAATTTTAGTTTTATTTTTAAAAGTTCAGTCTATGTAATCCTCTTTGCAGTATGCTAATATCCTGACTTTCCAAAGTCAGAAGTGTAAAATTACATCTGGAAACCCTGGGTTGGGAAGTCTTTTCTCTCTCATAGGTGTGTTTACTTCTGTGTGGAGAGAGGTGCTGATGTGTGATATGAGACCTTTCTGCTCCTACTACTCCAAGGCTGTAATCCTCCTCTTCCTCATTCTCTGCTTTTCTGTATGCTCTTACCAACAAACATGCTTTGGTAACTACAATTTTAAAAAAATGATAAGATGGGCATGTAGCTTTTCTGCTAAAATGCTGTTTAAGATGCCCGTGTTCTCCATCAGAGTGCCTGGATTTGATGCCCAGCTGCAGCTCCTGACTCCAGCTTCCTGCTGCAGTAGACCCTGGGAGGCAGTAGCGATGGCTCAAGTAATTGGATCACCACCTTGGGAGACCTGGATTTAGTTCCTGGCCCCTGGCTTTGACCCCAGCCCAGCCCTAGGCATTTGGGAAGTGAATCAGTTGATGGGAAGAACATTTTCTCTATCACTGCCTCTAAAATCAAAAAATTTGAAAAGCAATAAAGTTAAGAACTACTGAGCATCCTTCTCTAGTCCGGTCCTTGTCTCCTTTATTCATAACCCCATCTGTGCTCTTCATGTGAAGGGTTGTCTATACATACCAGCTTCCTCACCTTGCAGTCAGCCCATTGCTGTATGACTTTCTGCCCTTTGACTGTGATGTCGTAGTCCCATAGTGCCAAATCCAGGAGGTACTTTTCCCTCCTCCTCTTTCTTGAAGTGCATGCTGCACTGGATACAATTGACCACTCCCTGTTTAATGAAACTTTCTTCCCTTGGCTTTAGGGAGGACATTCTCTTCTGACTTTCCTTTCTCTCTTCCCTGACTCAGTCAACATGACCTCCGTCTGCTGAGTTGCTTCAGACATAAACATGGCAAGCATTCTTGATTGCGCACGTCTCTTTAACCATCACATCCAGCCAATCAGGAATTCCTATCAGTTTTACCCTCATGCGTGTGTTTTTGATCCATTTGTTCTTCCCAGTCTCTGCTTCTGCTTCCCTAGGCCTTGTCACCTTCACTTCTGAACTATTGTCACAGCTTCCTAACTCATCTCCTTCCTTTTGGTCCCTTTGGAACCCATTTTGTACACAAGAACCAGAGTGACTTTTTTTTTTTTTTTTTTTATTCGCAGGCAGAGAGACAGAGAGAGACAGACAGAGAGAGACAGAAAGAAAGGTCTTCCTTTTTCCATTCGTTCACCCCCCAATGGCCTCTGTGGCCGGCACACCTCACTGATCCGAAGCCAGGAGCCAGGTGCTTCTCCTGGTCTTCCGTGCAGGTGCAGGGCCCAAGGACTTGGGCCATCCTCCACTGCACTCCCGGGCCATAGCAGATAGCTAGACTGGAAGAGGAGCAACAGGGACAGAATCCGACGCCCCGACCGGGACTAGAACCTGGAGTGCCGGCGCCGCAGGCAGAAGATTAGCCTCTGGTTGCAGCAGAGATGTCGCTGCCTGGGCCTCCCACATCCCATCCCAGAGTGCCTGGCTTTGAGCACTGGCTCCATTTCTGTTTCAGCTTTCTACTAATGTACACCTTAGGAAGCAGCCAATGATGACTGCAGCATTTGGGTCCCTGCCACCACGTGGGAGACCTAGCTGGAGTTCCTGTCTCTTGGATTTGGCCTGGCCCAGCCCCAACTGTTGTGAGCATTTGGAGAAAGAGGCAGCTGATGGAAGCCAGGAACAGAGAGCAAGCTCCCCTCTGCTGTTTCACTCCTCAAAGGCCTTCAGCAGCCAGGGTTGGACCAGGGCAGAGCCAAAAGCCAAGAACAAAATCCGAGTTTCCCATGTTTGTGGCAGGAACCCAGTTACTTGATCATCACCTCTTCGAGTGGTCTGCGTTGGCTGGAAGCTGGAGGGATGCTGCACAGTGGGACATGGGTATCTTAACCAACAAGCGCATCCGTTCCTCCCGTGAGCTTTCTGCAGTGCCCTGGTATAATCATGTTTTCTATTTTCTTTTTTTTTTTCTTTTTTTTTTTTGACAGGCAGAATGGACAGTGAGAGAGAGAGACAGAGAGAAAGGTCTTCCTTTTGCCATTGGTTCACCCTCCAATGGCCACCACGGCCAGCACACTGCGGCCGGCGCACCGCGCTGATCCGATGGCAGGAGCCAGGTACTTATCCTGGTCTCCCATGGGGTGCAGGGCCCAAGCACTTGGGCCATCCTCCACTGCACTCCCGGGCCACAGCAGAGAGCTGGACTGGAAGAGGGGCAACCGGGACAGAATCCGGCGCCCCGACGGGGACTAGAACCCGGTGTGCCGGCACCACAAGGCGGAGGATTAGCCTATTGAGCCGCGGCACCGGCCTCATGTTTTCTATTTTCAACCATTTCCTGAAATTTATAATAAATATTTACAACTAAAATGAGAAAATTTCTCCTTTCTGACTTTACCCCTGAGAACTAATAGTTTATTGTGTTCTCCCAGACTTAAGCAACCACATAGGTATACTAGATTTTTAATGTAACGGTAAAATATTTTTGGTTCCTAAAATATTTTTTCAACTCAACAGTAAATCATTGAGCAGCTCTCCCAAGTTAGAACATATTATCTACATATTTTAACCACTTACCTATTGATAAACATTAAAGTAACTTAGAAATCCTTACCTTTGAAAGCAAAGTACAATGAATATTTGCTTACTTTTAAGTAACCTCCTGTAAGATCCTAAGTTTTTCACTTGAAGGGGTGCAATTTTTTATGACTTATGAATTTGTGACATGCTAATATTATAACCATATGCTTCTATTTATTTTCTAGTTTTGTAGTTTTGAATCCATATTGGATTTGTTTTTATCTACTGCCTTGATAATATAAAGGATAATACTTCTGTACTCAAGTAAATATTTGTACAGAAATTTTTACAGTAGTACTATTCACTATGGCCAAAAGGTAGAAACAATCCAAATGTCTGTCAACTAATGATTGGTATATACACACAATGGTGTATTACCTAACTATAGAAGGGAACAAAGTAATAATACAAGCTTTAATATGGATCAGCCTCAGAACCATTATGCTAGGTGGAAGAAACCAGACACAAAAGGTCACGTATTGGAATGATTCCACTTCAGTGAAATACCCAGAATAGATAAATCTGTAGAGGCAGAAAGTACATTGGTGGTTGGCAGGGGCTGCAAGGATAGGGGAATAACTAGTCACTGCTTCGTGGATCTGGGGCTTTAGGAGTGATGAAAATTTTTGGAATTATATAGAGATGGTGGTTGTACAACGTTGTGAATGTACAGGATGCCTCTCAATTGTACGCTTTAAAATGGTTAATTTTATGTTGTGTGAATTTTACTTCATTGAAAGGGTGATGCCCACACCCACAGCAAGGGAATGCTTTCTCTAAAATTCATCTGGGTGGGGAGCGAGCAGTCATTTAGCCTAACAGTTAAGGCCCCAATTAACATGCCTACATCCAACATTGTAGTACCTGTGTTCAATAGGCTGCACCAGCTCCTGACTCCAGCTGCCTGCTAATGCAGACCTTGGGAAGCAGGCCCTGAAAGTTCAAGTAGTTGGGTTCCTGCCACCCACATGGAACACCTGGACTGAGTTCCTGGCCATTGTGAGCATTTGGGGAGTGAACCAGCAGATGAGGACCTTGTTTCTCGCTGCCTCTGCCTCCCTCTCAACTAAATAAAGAAAAAAAAAGTTTAATTTTTTGTTCCTCTTTGTGATCAACTTTTGAGTATATTGCCCATGTTAGTAGTTTTATGTGACTTTCCTTGTAATGTAATTTGATATTTAAAATTTATGTTCTGGTAAAGTGTCTATTTTAACTAAATTTTTTCAAAAAACATTTATTTGTTTGTTTGTTTATTATTTGAAAGGTAGAACGACAGAGAGGGAAAGATAGGGCATGATCTTCCATCCACTGGTTCACTCCCCAAATGACAACAACAGCTAGGGCTGGGCCAGGAGCCAGGAGCTCCATCCAGGTTTCCCCTGTGGTTGTCATGGATTCAAGCACTTGGGCTATATTCATGCCTTCCAGACACAAGAGTAGGGAACTGGATTGGAAGCAAAGCAGCTGGACTTGGACTGGCACTCAGTAGCTTAACACGCTGCCTCACAATGCCAAGCTCTTTACTAAGTTTTGATTGTTAGTAGTCTGAATAGTAGATAATATTGCATCTCAGTAACTTCTCTTTGACACACATTAATTCAATCATCCCCTCTAAGTGATTAATTTAAGGTTCACCTCTTAACCCCATTAATCAGGAAAAATCCATGTAAGTATTTAGCTATTTTAGGTTCTTAGAAATAACAGTGAGAAGCAAAGATCAACATCTGCTCTCTATGTATTGATATCCTAGCAAGGAGAAACACACAAATAAGTTTATAATGTCAGAGAGTGATAACACTGTAGGGAAATAAAACTAAGAGTGATATCTTGGAAGACTGTGTTTGTTTTATTTAAATCCCAGAGGAAAGAACAGAAAACCCAGGGAATATTGGCATAGGGAGGGGGTCAGACTTTGTAGGAGACTGTGTGACAGAGTCCGAGCGATGAAGGAAAGGTAAGCAGTATGCCCATCTAAGATTCTCCTGCTCCTCCCCAGTCCCAGTCTGTAACTCAGGAAGGCTCGTGTTTCTTTTCTGAGCTGTATTGGAGGTTTCCTTAGCTGGCTTAGCTTAGCTCTGCTTAGCCTTAGCAGGTTTACCCTACTCTGCTCTGCAGGAGCAGCTGCCTTCCTGTTGGGTCAGAGCCAGGGATAGTGTTGATCTTGATGCCCAGGCAGGAACAGCTGGATGAGAAGAGAAGAAACTGAAGTGAAGGGAAGTGTCTAAGAATATAGACTTTTTCCTGGCTGTTTCTTCCCTCTCCATCCCTCTCTGGCAAAGCTCATGGATCAGCTAATGAGAGATTAGTATTAAAGGGAATTGGAGGGACCAGCACTGTGGTGCAGTAGGCTAAACCTCTGCCTGCAGTGGAGGCATCACATATGGGTGCCGGTTCAAGTCCTGACTGCTCCTCTTCCGGTCCAGCTCTCTGCTATGGCCTGGGAAAATAGTGGAAGATGGCTTAAGTGCTTATGCCCCTACACCCACCTGGGAAACCCGGAAGAAGCTCCCAGCTCTTGGCTTCGGATCAGCCCAGTTCCAGCCATTGTGGTCATTTGAGGAGTGAGCCAGCAGATGGAAGACCTTTCTCTTTCTCTCTCTCTCTCTGTCTCTCTCAAATAAAAAATAAGCTTTTAAAAAGAAAGAAAAGGAATCAGAAATACATAGCCTATCCTCCCACCCCCATATGTCTTATACATCTTTTAAAACTTAAGCAGTTACCAGCACATTTGGGTAAATAAATACCTATTCTTTTTCTCTCTGACAATGAACATGTTTCACCTTTACGGTTGTGGGCAGCAAGTGAAGCAACAGCCTGTTTTCATTTTGGGGAAAAAAATACTTCTTTCATGCCAGGCATTGTGGTGCAGCTGGTTAAGCCACTGCTTAGCATGCCCATATTCCCTATCAGAGTGCCTGGGTTAGAATCTTACCTGCACTTCCAATCTAGCTTCCTGCTACTGCGCTTCCTGGGCTCAAGTACTTGCATTTGTGTCACTCACAAGGGAGACCTGAATAGAGTTCCTAGCTTCTGCCTTTGGCCTGGCCCAGCCCTGACTCTTGTGGCCATTTGGAGAGTGAACCAGCATACAGAAAAATCAATCAGTCTCTCCCCCGCACCCTGGCTCCCTCTGTCTCTCTAGAGCCTCCCTCTTCCCTTGCCTGTCACTCTGCGTTTCAAATAAACAAATATTTTTAAAAATACTTTTCATAATTCCTTTATGTTACAGTCTTTCTGAAACAGTTTTTGAAAATAACTATCATTTTATCAAAGCAGTGCAGTTTGTATGCTAGACTGTGTCATATTTCTCCTGTGGTCTTCTGCTAACAGTAGTATGCACTGATGAAAAAGAGGTACCTTTATTTCACTGTTTCTTTTTAATTTGGTTTCCTTTTTCTTTCTCTGTATCAGTACTGACTGCCTTGAAGGTTATTGCTGGTTTGTGTTTAATCTGAAAATAGAAGCAGTTTATCTTTATAAGAGGAAAGGGAAAGGCACCTTCATTTTAATCCTTCCTGCAGAAGAGAGAGCTAGTACACACTTGGGACTGAGCAGTGTATTGAAATGCTTCACATGACCTGAATTACAGTTCTCTTGCCGAGGTTTGGAGTGAATATATAACGTGTTCATGAAGGCAGGATTTCTTTGTCCTTCAACAACTTTTTTTCTTCCGTTGTTTCCTATTTAAATTTAAAACTGCATGCATTTTAAAAAGCTTAATCTATACAGATTGCTTTATCTTCTCTCTTCTTTCTTAGTGTATCTAGAAGCAGATCTTTTACTATATCATATCAAAATTGCACGGCAAATCAATTTTTTCCCTATTAGTCACTCTCACTATCAGTTTCTGGATAACACTAATTTGTGAGTCATGATTAAATTCACCATTCACCTTCTACTTATTTGGCTCGGCATGAATGAAGTAGAAGTATGCCTAATTTGGAAAAGAACATTTAGGAAATAAGACCAGGAAAAAGGCAGATGCTGCAGGTGGGAATAAGGTGAAATACTGTCACTGCTGAGGCAAGGAGAGGTTTCTGGAATCCCGGACTGGACTTGGAGCACATTTTCTAGGAGCAGTGTTTACGTACAGTGTCTAACACACAATGGAGTGAACACTGCAGACCACGAAGGAGGATGAAAGTTTGTTTCATAAAAAAGGTTAAAAGCAGACTGTACACGATATAGTTGGGGACTTTTCTCTGAGGAGAATTTGTGTTAAATTGTGTTAGGTGAAGGATAGATTCCAACACTTAAATATGCGATCAAAAGATGATTATTTTAAAGGTTCATGATAAAAGATGCCCAGTTATTAAGTGATACACTGTTTTTTATTTTCACCCAAGTGTATCTGAGGACCAGCTCACTGAGTTTTACCAACATTAAGTATATTGTCTTTTTTTTTTTTTTTAAACTTTGGCCATTTTCCTAGATGAAGTTTGTATCTTGAGGATGTTTGTATTTTTATTACTGTTTAAATTATTTTTAACTCACTGCTTATCATGAATCTTACTGATTCCTTGTGCATTAAAGGGAAAATATGTTCCAGTCTCAGTAGATTTTCACGTGGTCAAAAGTGTTAGTCTTTTTTTTTTTTTTTAAGATTTATTTATTTATTTGAAAGGCAGAGTTACAAAGAGGGAGAGACAGAGAGAGAGATATCTAACATCCACTGTTTCACTCCCCAAAGGGCCACAAAGGCCAGAACTGGGCCAATCAGAAGGCAGGAGCCAAGAGCTTCTTCCAGGTCTCCCACTTGGGTACAGGATTCCAAGCACTTGGGCCATCTTATATGGCCTGCTTTTCCAGGCCATAGTTGAGAGTGGGATCAGAAGTGAAGCAGCAGGGTCTTGAACCGGCATTCAATTGGGATGCCAACCCTGCAGGCAGTGCTTTACCCACTATGCCATAGCGCCAGCCCCAAGAGTGTTAGTCTTTTAGGTTATTAACATACTCATTGTTTTCCTATGCATCCCTGGCAGAAAATGTCTAAGAATCAGGAAGTTAATCTGGTTAGAGCAGCTAGGAGAAGTGACCACTGGTAAATAGAACTAGCCATGGATTTAAGTGAAAACTGATGAAATTGTTACCATAATTCTAAAAAACAAAGCCAGGAATAAAAGTAATATCTAATTATAGAATATGTAAATCACCTACAATTGCTGAGGTGATTTGTTGACTCCCCCGAGCGCTCAGAAAGCTGTGATACAACAGTCAGGGCTGGACTAGGCTGAGGCCAGGAGCCCGGAGCCTCTTCTGGGTCTGTCACATGGGTGCTGGGGCCCAGGTACTTCAGCCATCTTCTGCTGCTTTTCCCAGGTGCATTAGCAGGCAGCTGGATCAGAAGCGGAGCAGCCAGGACTCAAACCGGTGCCCATGTGGGATGCTGGCGCTGCAGGCAACAGCTTTACCTGCTGCACTGCAGTCCCAGCCCCAACTTTGTGTTGTTAAACCAGAAGAGGGTTACAGAGGGGTGACTAGAATTCATAACTATGAATTAGATACTATACAAAGAATTGGAAGAGAGGAGCTGGTGTGTTGCAAACATAAAAGGTAAAGAAATGGAAATGCTGATTGCCCTATTGGAGCAGTTAATGCTCTTGTCTCATAAAAATGTATTATGTTAATCAGAAATTTTAAATAATCATAAACATTTGTAAAAAGATGGTTAAGAGAGAAGTTGAAGAGGAAGGTTGGTGTGCACAATGGTCCTGGATATACACTTCTGGAGACATGATTTTATCAGTGCACACAAAGAGAGTGAAGTTCTATCACACTAAATTAAATTCACAGTTAGTGTGGAAAGAAAGAAAGGGAGGGAGGGAGGAAGGAAGGGAGGGAGGGAGGAAGGAGGGAAGGAGGGAGGCAGGGAGGAAAACCGTGATAGATGCTGCCAAAGCACATCCCAGGGTTGTTTTTCTGAGCAGTAGTTGGGAACTTTTAAGCTAGGACCTTTGGTTCTATATTTACTGCAGTAAGCTGATTACTTCTGTTAAAAGGAATGAAAGGTATATGTGTATATGTATTCACACATATACCTTTGTATACACACACATACACATATATAATTAATGGTAAAATAATATTGAATAAAAATAGAAGAAAACACGTTGCCTGTGGTGTATATAATGCTTTGCCATAAAATTATGAGGCTATAAATCAAATTTATGATAGTGATTGCTGTGGGCACAGATGAGGAAAATTAGGGAAATAGAATGAAGAAACATGTCACAGGTTTTGTTTCAGAAAGGCCTTGAAACAGGTATGGCAAAAATGTTACCAGTAATTGATTCTGAATGGTAAGACCATTGTGACCTTTATTCTCTGTATTTTCTGTTAAATCAATGAAGGATAACAAAGGACTGAAAAACCTGAGAGGATCCAGTACCTTAGGAAGAAAACAGAGGGGCAGTAGAGAAGATGAGCTTGAGTAGGAAGTCTGAGCAGTACGGCATAGTCATTTCTCTCCAAGTTAATTAATAGGGCCCACATAACCGCAGCAGCAATCCAGGTAGAGTCTGGCTGGATTGCGTGTAAATGTTTTGATGGTTCAGTGACTCAAACTTTGCCTAACTACACACACACATTGAATTCACACGTGACTGAATTGCAGAAAGAACAGGCTGGATAGAAGTACATAAGAACTCTAATAATGATTATTGCATAGTAGTATCGTTATAGATTTTTGTTTCTAGTGCTTTTTTGTTAACCAAATTTTCAGATTGTAAGGTAAGACAGCCTTGCCGTGATAGGATGATACTTTGATTTTCAGAATGGTAAGAGGCAGGAGCCCAGCACCTGGTTCCCAGTTAAAAGAGGCTTTCTGGAAGGGGAGTGTGAAATCCACGACAGTGGACTTCTGAATTTCAGTAACCAAACTGAGACCGGAAGACTGAGTGAATGATCGCCGTATATATGTGTTTATGGATATCTTGAGTCTTGCTAAGAGCTTGCTAGCTAACCGACCTCTGTTTCTTCTCGTTGAAGCCGTACGAAGGATTGAGGCCGCAGGACCTGCGCAGGCTGAAAGACATGCTTATTGTGGAGACTGCGGACATGCTGCAGGCCCCCCTGTTCACTGCTGAAGCTTTGCTTCGCGCTCACGGTAAGATCAGAAATGCCGTACGCGTCAGATAACGTGAGTCTCGTTAAATTAGCCCAGGGTTTCTTAGTGCCTCATCCTCATAGTACCTTGTATTTGCACTATAAACTAGCTTCAAATCGCAGGGAGGAAACTGAGCAGTTGTTTTAAAACTTGAACTATTAAATGAACTTTGATTGTCGCCTTTTAGAAATACGTCTAATTTTACTTAGATTGGGCATTGGAATGCATAGTCCTAATCTTGCTTTTGACAGTAATTTTTGTTGAAGTCAGTCAAGTATACAGTTCAAGTAAATACCTAAGAATTTTGTTAACAGCATTTATTTTTTGTAAATGCAGTTCCTCTTACTATGAAATGCACAAAGTGAAGTTAAAGCATCAACATCAGAATATGCTTTTTTGTTTTTTCGGGTCTTTTTTTTTTAAGATTTATTTATTAATTTGAAAGGTAGATTTAAAGAGAGAAAAATTCTAAGCCTCCACTGGGACTTTTCCTATCTGTTACCTTATATCCCATCAACTATATATGTCATGCATTTAGAATACATCAAGAAATCATCAAGTCTCAGGTTGTGTTGTAAGTTCTCTGTGATTCTTTAAAAATAAAAAAAATAAAAAAAGTTATTTGTTTGAAAGTCAGAGTTACAGGGAGAGAGAGAGAGAGAGAGAGAGAGAGAGAGAACTTCATCTACTGGTTCACTCCCCAACTGGCCACAATAGCCAAGCCTAGGCCAGACTAAAGCCAGGAACCTGCAACTCCATCCAAGTCTCCCACATTAGTGGCACCACCCATGTATTGAGCCATCTTTTACTGCTTTCAGAGGTATATTCGCAGGGCACTGGATTGGAAATGGAGCAGCAGGGATCAAACCGGTACCCATATGGGATGTCACTGCGGCAGGTAGCAGCTTAACCCACTGTGCCACAACACTGGCTCCCAGTTCTTTGGGATTCTTTCTTTTTCTTTTTTTTTTTTTTTTTAAGATTTATTTATTTATTTAATGGCACAGATGCAAAGAGAGTGAGAGAGAGGTCTTCCATCCACTGGCTCACTCCCCAACAGCCGGAGCTGAGCCCATACAAAGCCAGGAGCCAGGAGTTTTTTCCAGGTCTCCCAACACAGGTGCGGGGGCCCAAGGGCTTGGGCCATCTTCTACTGCTTTCCCAGGCCACATCAGAGAGCTGGATCAGAAATGGAGCAGCCGGGTCTCGAACTGACACCCATGTGGGATGCCAGCACAGCACCGACCCTCTCTGTGATTCTTAAGATAGCCATTCTGAGAGTTGTCACATGGTGAATTGGACCCTCTGGTTTCATATTTGATATTTGACATTTAGGCAGGTTTCAAAGAACAGTATTCTGCAATAATAAATTTTTTAAAGAGAAAGAAAATGACAAGTAAACGGATATTCTTTTCCAGTCACTTCGAGGCTCTGCTTGTCTATTTTAACTGTAAGTCTGTCATCTAAATTAAAATACTACCTTCTAAAACTTTTGTGTAATCTTTTGATTAGAAGAAAATGTAGAACTCCATTTTCCATCATTCATGGATCACTGCTGTTCCTAATTTGGTAAATAGCCCTCTGAACTGATGTCCTGACTCGAATACATTCTTTCCCCTCTCCCACTTTGTATACCTGTGGCTCTTCAGTTTTGGTGGGAATCAAGAACAGCATAAAAGCTAAACCTAAACTCCTAGGATTAGCCCCAGAGAGTCTTAATTCCTCAGGTATGGAAATGGGGCATAAAACTGTGTTGTAAATAAAACTCACAAGTGGCTTACTCTCTGAGAATCGTTGTTCAGCACATTTATACGATACATGTAACCAACGGCTTTTAAAACCACCAAAACAGTAAAGCCTGTATCTTCCATTCGGCTTTAATCAAATGTTAGAGACTGTGTTTCTAGATGCCTGTTGATAATTTTCTGTTCATACCGTAAGGATGTCCACAGCTGAACTCAAAGATATATTTGTTTATTTATTTGAAAGGCAGAGATACAGAAAGAGACAAAGACAGACAGCCAGATCTTCCATCTGCTCGTTCACTCCCCCAAATGGCTGCAATGGCCAGAGCTGGGTAGATCCGAATCCGGGACCCAGGAGCTTCCTTGGGGACACCCATGTGGGTGCAGGGGCCCAAACACATGGGCCATCCTCCACTGCCTTCCCAGGCCATTAGCAGGGAGCTAGACCAGAAGCAGAGCAGCTGGGATGCCCATATGGGATGCAGGCTCTGCAGGCAGTGGCTCTATCCACTACCAGGACCCTATGGTTGTTCTTTTAAAATGCCCATCTGAGCTGTCACTCTGCTGAAAACTCTTCACTGTCATGGGCTTCTTCTTTTATTGTTGTTTTTAAGATTTGTTTATTTGATTGAAGATTGAGTGATAGAGAGAGGGAGAGAGAGGCATAGAGAGTGGTCTTCCATCTACTGATTCTAGGCGGGGGCTTAACCTGCTGTGCCACAACTCTGGTCCCTGGTGCAGCCTTTTTTTTTTTTTTTTTTTTAAAGATTTATTTATTTGAAAGTCAGAGTTAAACAGAGAGAGAAGGAGAGGCAGAGAGAGAGAAAGGTCTTCCATCCGCTGGTTCACTCCACAATTGGCCACAGTGGCCGGAGCTGCAAGCTCTTCTGGGTCTCCCATGCAGGTACAGGGGCCTAAGCATTGAGGCCATCTTGTACTGCTTTCCCAGGCTGTAGCAGAGAGCTGGATCAGAAGTGGAGCAGCCGGGTCTCCAACCGGCACTCATATGGGATGCCAGCACTGCAGCCAGCGGCTTTATCTGCTACACCACAGCACCAGCCCCAGGTGCAGGCTTCTTTACCTGGGCTGTCAGTCTCCCCATTTCTTTAACTTGCTCACTCCAGTTTGTCTTTAGAAATTATCTTTTCTGGGAAACTTCTGCTATGTCTTTCTAAGTCTCCACTGGGACTTTTCCTATCTGTTACCTTATATCCCATCAAATATACATGTCATATATTTAGAATACAGTATTATAATCTTAATTTCTTTTTATGAATTTGGGAGTTCTTGGAAAGCAGCTTTAAATATGTTTTTGTATGTTTGTTTCCACAATACCTAACATTAATCCTTCAGAAAATGATGGAATAAATAGGTAATGTTTTATATATACATATATGTAAAAATATTTTGTCTACATTTTTGTTTTAAAGACCAAATATTTCCTTTTTAGCCAGTGATAATGCTTAACCACAGTTTGAATATATATTAAATGGATAATTTCAGAAATAAACAATTTGTAAGTTTTGAGTTATACCCTATTCTGAGTGGTGTGAAGAAATCCCACACAGTCCCCCCAGGGGTATGAATCCTCCCTTTGTGCAGTGTATCCATGTTGTATACACCACCCACTTGCTAATATTAGTAGTCTTCTCAGTCTTGTTCAGATAACCATTATTTTACTTAGGAATGACCTCTAAATGCAAGAATGTCACGCTGCCAGCAACTTTGTTACAATATCCTATTACAGTTATTCTATTTCATTATTGGTTGTTAATCTTATACTATGCTTAATTTGCAAATTAACCAGTGGCATAGGTATGTATAGTAGTAGAAAACAGTATACTCATAGAAAGAGTTTGGTGCCATGCACACTTTCAGGCATCTACTGGGGTCTTAGAATACACCCTCAGCAGATAAGGGGACCTCCCTCCTCTGCTGGTTAGAGTAGGCTGGCTGCGAAGCAAAATCGGAGGCTCACACACTATGAATTTTTTTTTTCTTTTTTGACAGGCAGAGTGGACAGTGAGAGAGAGAGACAGAGAGAAAGGTCTTCCTTTTGCCGTTGGTTCACCTTCCAATGGCCGCCGTGGCCAGCGCGCTGCGGCCTGCGCACCGCGCTGATCCGATGGCAGGAGCCAGGTACTTATCTTGGTCTCCCATGGGGTGCAGGGCACAAGCACTTGGGCCATCCTCCACTGCACTCCTTGGCCACAGCAGAGAGCTGGCCTGGAAGAGGGGCAACCGGGACAGAATCCGGCACCCCGACCGGGACTAGAACCCGGTGTGCCGGCGCCACAAGGTGGAGGATTAGCCTAGTGAGCCACGGCGCCAGCATGTGAATGTTTCTTAATCACATAGTAGGTCAAAAGCATCTTGGTTTTGATCAGGTGGGATGGGGCCTCTGCTCCACATTGTCTCAGAGGCCCTCATCTGACTGTGACTGCCATGCTGAACAAGTGTCTTCTGGGGTGGCCTTTGGGACCATCTTCATTCCAGCCAACAAGCCAGGAAGGAAAAGACAGGAGGAGTAAGTGTGAGCAGCTTTTCGAGCCAGGCCCAGAGGTGGCTGACATCACTTCTGCACATACTCCATTAGCTGTAATTCAGATGTGTGACCACAGTAACTGCGAGCAACCGTTCCACACTCACCATTGTCCTGTACAGACAGCCATCTCTGCCACAGGCATCTGCATTTAGCAGGTGATATATTGTATCACACTTACTATATTAAAAGTAGCATATAGAATCCAAGACTGACTTTATGGTTAAATTCATTGTAATTAAAAGGAACAACCCTTTATATGTGTGTGTATATATGTGTGTGTATATATATATGTTTATGTATAAAACCATCAAGTATTATAAGGTGGTCAGCTCCATTGATAGTTCTCCAAATTATTTTCACATAACAGAAACAAATTTAATACGGTGAAATCTAACTGAGTTTTCCTACTTGACATGTGTATATCCTGCAATAACTTTTTTGATAATTTACTATTCTTTTTTTTTTTTTTTTTTTGGACAGGCAGAGTTAGACAGTGAGAGAGACAGAGAGAAAGGTCTTCCTTCCATTGGTTCACTCCCCAAATGGCCACTGTGGCCGGTGCTGCGCCGATCCGAAGCCAGGAGCCAGGTGCTTCCTCCTGGTCTCCCATGGGGTGCAGGGCCCAAGCACTTGGGCCATCCTCCACTGCCCTCCCAGGCTGCAGCAGAGAGCTGGACTGGAAGAGGAGCAACCGGGACAGAATCCGGCAC